TTCGGACCAGCAACATCTGTGCAGCGCGAGATCAAGCGACATTGTGCTAAGAGATCCAATGAAGAAAACATTTGAATTCTCCACTGAAGTAATAACATCGCTGCGAGATAGTGAGAAGGATTCACATTTCTCTGTTATTAACCGTAGATCTCTATTAGATCAAACAGCGCTGACGTGGGAACCAGGAGAAACATTGTGCCGTGAATGAACATGGATTTAATGTTGCACTTCAAAACTCAAATATTAGGCTATATAAATATATATTTAAATGTTATTTTTAATGTGATTACCAAAACATTATTTGTTCATCCTTCAAAGATTACCCCCATTTATAAACCTGAAAAGTTTCAAGATGTAGGAAAACTCAAACTTATTTAAAAATAGTTTTTCTTTAAATAAATAGGAAATTTCTCTGGCATTTCTTTCTTTTTGCTGTATCGTATCGATATATTTTGTGAACTGTTACACCCCTAATGTGTATATATATATATATATATATATATATATATATATATATATATATATATATATATATATATATATATATATATATATATAGGCCTATTCTCATAATTTTTTTATACACTTTTAAAACATTTTTATTTTTTGTTTACATGCCTGCCGGGTATTTTAAGTTGAGGTGCTATTTGTTTTTATATTAGACTTTTTCTATATTTACTGTTGCACTAAAGTCCAAAAGTGAAGATTTTATGTTATTTATTACTTGATTGTTCAAGCTACCTCACAGAAGTTTTTTCTCTCTTCTTTATTCTTTTTTTATGTATTATATAAGTATCGGATCGGGACTCGGTATCGGTAGATACTCAAAATCAAATGACTTGGACTCGGACTCGAGGGCAAAAAAATCTGATCGGGACATCCCTAGTATTCACCCTGCTGAGGGGGATGTGATCAAAGCCTGGAGTGGAGCGAAAGCACGTTCCTCTCTCCACTCTAAGCATTCTGTAATCACTCCGCTCTGGATCCACTCCGGGTTTTCAATTCCCGCTCACGGAAAAACTAAAAAAAAAATCGTCAGAAGACTTTTTTCACTTTAATCCCTGTTTTTATAAGCTGTCGACACCAAAAAACGGTTGTTTCAGGACATAAAAGTGGATCAATTGAGACAGAGCGCAACTATGCATCTTCAGATTATGACGCATTTATTATGTAGAACACATTGGAATTGCGAGAAAATATAACAATATTCGAAAAAGCTATTTTATGATCGAATTTCGAACGCAATTCGACTATTCGAAGATCGTGACTCATCCCTACACTGCACACTTATGAATAATGAGTGTATCAATAAATAATCATCCATAATTATAGCCACCTTAATAATGTTTGTAAGATACCAAACCGTTTATAAATCCATAAAGATTTCAACGAGATAAGAGTATTTGTGTTCGTGCTGACCACTCATCTTACATCAGGTACCACAGAGCCCACCAGAAAGCTTGCCTGTGACAAGATGGCCGCCGGTGATGACGATAGAGACTCTGCCGTAAGACATCTAGCCTTTATTATGGATATCCAAGGTATCGGCACCCAAGTATCATGATGGTATAGAATCGGGAGATACACCTCCGAATCGGGAGGTATATCGTCCCAGCCCTATTAACCATATCCCTACCCCTAAAAACCTAACCCTACACATGTTATCGCCAATATCAGAGTGGAAAGGTAGGTGAATAAGAATTGTGTGGAAGCACCTAACCCTGGTTGCAAGCCTTTACATTAACTGTAAACCTATCAGTCAAATCTGATTGGTTGATTGGAATGTTGTTTCAGGATCAACATAGATGTTGATCCAGGAACATGTTAAGGTCCTTGCAGACTGAGTCCGAAATTTTCTTATGCATTTTTTCGTATTTGTGATTCGTTGGCTCTGAATTGTCAAAACACCATTCAAACTGCTTGCTACGGATGTGAAAAACGCAGAAAATCGAACCCGATCCGATTATTATTATTCTTTTTTTTTTATGACGGACGAAAGTTTCGGAGGCACTGTGCAAGCGTGATTGACATAACGTGAGGTCGTATTTACTTTTTAACGTGCGAAAATTTCGGACGCGAATTTAGGACTCCGTGTGCAAGGGCCTTTACACTTGTTCTGGTTCTGCTTCATGGTGACCGACGACTGTGTCATCAAACCTTTATTTAATTTGACATAAGCCTGTTTAGAGACAAATAACTAAACTAATAAATGTATAACAAATAACTGTATGGATATATTTTTTTAATTTTTAAAAAAAAATCCAGTAGCAACTAATATATTTTTTCAGCTTAAGTAGTAATTCCATATGCCTATAGAATTTAATGGCAAACAATTGTTAGTAACAATGGAATAAGGTATTATCAAAATTGTAGGGATGCACGATATATCGACCACATATCGATATCGGACGATAAATGGTATTTTTTTGATGTTATCGTTATCGGTCCGATAAGAAAATTGGGCCGATAAATCAAAGCCGATAAATGAAAGATTATTTACTTCAGTTGAGAGATGCGCGCGGTTCGCCATGATGGTTCTGAATGATTAGAATCACTTTGAAAAGGAAGATACAGTTCAGTGCAACATGTGCAGCACAAATCTGTCACATAGGCTTCATAACATTATAATAAAAGCACGCCTGTAAAAGAATTTTGTGAATTCGTGTTCGCCAGGGTTCCAGCGCGTCGAGTGCGTTGTGGAAAGAGCGCGTCTGTGGAGTTAAGCCTTCATGACAAGCACAGTCAAGTTCTCTTGAGCATTCGCACCATTCTGTGCCATTGTAAGTTGTAATATGTTTATTTTGTGTATATATATATATATATATATATATATATATATTATATATATATATATATTTCTGATTAATCTAATATAGGATGCGTTTGGTTGAGTTAATGAACGATGCATAGCGCTTCATTGTAGGCCTACCGGTGATCATCTTTATCTTTAGCGTGCGCAGCTCAAACAGCAATGCACATTTATAACTATAGTATAGGACTGTCATATACATGCCATTATAATGAGAACACTATTGTAATAAAACGTTGTGAATTCTCTGGGTTTAGTTGCCGTTTCAGCGCGTTGTTGTGGGAATAGCGCGTCCAGAACAGGGATTAGCCTACGCATTATGACCAGCACAAGTTCGATTGTGCATTCACGTCATTTTGTGCAGATAAATCGTAATATAAAGTTGATGTAATAAAAATATCTGATTAATCTCACATATGATGCGTTTCGTTTAAACAACCTGCTAGAAAAGTTCTTCAGTTTCCCGGTGCTCGTTCTCTTCAGCTTCAGCGCGCGCAGATTAAACAACAATGCAAAACATTAAAAGCTATGATTAGGACTGTCATATAATTATAATTGTATCCACTATTGTAATAAAACGTTGTGAATTCTCTGGGTTTAGTTGCCGTTTCAGCGCGTTGTTGTGGGAATAGCGCGTCCAGAACAGGGATTAGCCTACGCATTATGACCAGCACAAGTTCGATTGTGCATTCACGTCATTTTGTGCAGATAAATCGTAATATAAAGTTGATGTAATAAAAATATCTGATTAATCTCACATATGATGCGTTTCGTTTAAACAACCTGCTAGAAAAGTTCTTCAGTTTCCCGGTGCTCGTTCTCTTCAGCTTCAGCGCGCGCAGATTAAACAACAATGCAAAACATTAAAAGCTATGATTAGGACTGTCATATAATTATAATTGTATCCACTATTGTAATAAATTTGTAAATTCAGCAACCGTTGAGTTGATTAACCTTCTAGCAAAGCGATTCAGGTTCATTCTGTTCAGCTTCAGCGCGCGCGCTCACACAGCTTAGTTACAAATGACATTGCTATTAAAGATGTTTACTATCACTATAATATTATTATTTTTTTCAAAAACATTGCGTTATAATTAATAACTAACATTATTTTCTTCTCGTATTATTTTCATCAACGATATGGTTTGATTAAAATAATTTCCTTATTGTCCGTGCGGAGGCGATTCCATTTTATTGATCCATGGCACATGCATTTTGTTTGCAGCCCAATGTTATCCAATGACTTGTTTGCATTATTTAGGTATTTTATTTTTTGTTAGGCAATAGATTTTTTGATAACACTACAATAAGGTCTCATTTGTTAATGCATTAACTAACAGAGAGGCAATAGCTTTTGTTATTGTTATAATAAAAATGCGTTCATGTTAGTTCACAGTGCATTGACTAATGTTAACAGATACAACTTTCTTAAAAATGTCTTATAAGTTCATGCTAACTAATGGCTGCTAACAAAATTAAACCTTATTATAAAGTGTTACCATTTTTTAATAAAGGAAGTTGCCCAGTGTAAAATTAATTTTAAAAGTTAAGGAATCTTACACTGCTTCAAACTATACTGTATTGTATATGTTTGATTTATGTTAAAAGTGTTTGAGACAAGGCTTTTAATGGTGAGCCTGCCCTTTGGTTTATGTATACAGGCTATCAAAGTATAGGCCTATACAATTTTTAATTGAGATTTATCGGCCAATATATCGGTTATCGGCTTTCAAATGTAAAGAATTATCGGTATCGGCCAAAATGTTCATATCGGTGCATCCCTACAAAATTGTTGAAGTGATTTGTAGCAAAGAAGTTAACACTGGTATGAGGAAGTACTAAGCATCTATCGAATAGTTGTATGCAAAGCAATTTACAAAGAGAATTGTTGGCGCCATCATGTAAACTATTTATATTATAAGCCACATAAGGGAAATAATTATTTTTAAAGGTAAGACATAAAGGATTTTTCAGATGTCACGTTTTAAACAGTATTTGTGTGTTTGAAGTACGACCAATATTTTTTGAAAATTGACAAAACTGCGCAAAAAAATTACTGCTTAAAATGTCCTCTTTGCTCACATCATGATATGAATATTTTAAGCATCAGTTAATGTAGGTTGCTTTAATTTGTGACGCATTACATCAGGGTTTACCCAACAATGTCTGAACATGTTTCTGGTTGCTCTAGGTTGTCTCGGGCCTGAAATACATCTTCACTGTGAAAGTGGCCAGAACATCTTGCAGGAAGGGTGGAGTTGAGACCCTGTGTGCCGTTCATAAGGACCCTGCTGTTGCAGACGTAAGACACACTTGTCTCATTTACAGTATTACAGTTACCTGTTTGCATTTATCAATTTCCATATTAAAAGAGATTGACTTTTTTTACTTTTAGGTCACTCAATGCAAAATAGCAGTCTGGAGCCAGCCATGGTTAAAATCAATTACAGTAGTTGAAAACACCTGCATGTAGAGCATGTTTCTAGTGCAGTTTGAGGCTTTTTAACAATCATATTTCCTATTGATAAAATTGGAATTTGATTTGTCATGATAACCTTTGATGTCAACAACAAATCATGATATAAGAATGCTTTACTAACACAATCTCATTTGAATCAATTTCTCTGAAAACCTCTACAATTTGTAAAAAATTCTAAATAATAAACCACATTTTCTGATATTTGTGCATCCTTTACTTAATAAAACATGGTTGAACGAGATGTCTGTGCACTGTTTTTTGGTTAAGTACACTTTGGGAGTCATACTGATTTGGAGGATTGAGAACACTGTATATTTTGTGAACGTATAAACAAAGATAACAACCCAATAGTATTTATGTGATAATAACCGTTATAGGAGTAGTGTAAATACCAGAACTGATATATTTGTATGTGATTTTAAATGTAATGTTTACAGTTTTATAAATGCCTCAATCTTGCACTCACACCTTTCCTCTGAATATGAAATAAACCTCTGCAGAATTACTGCATTGATACAAGCGTTTTGATACAAGGGTTGAAACTATTTATTTTGCAACTACTGCAAAAGAGTTTGATCAGCTTTGAACTTAGTACTCCGCGATGAAGCAAATCTGTTAATAATATATTACCTTCAAAACTGTTTCACCAGCAATAAATCTTAAATTGATCAAATATTGCAATTGAAAACTTTTGTATAATGTTTATGATGCGAGTTGTCGTTTTGCATTAGCCTACTACTTACTGTATGTTACTACTATTTATGTCTTTTAAAATACATTGATCTTGCCATTGTTCACAATCGGGTTGTATATACACACGATGAAGTTAAATCTCCAAGTAAGTCTTTAATACATAATCCACAAGGCAAAAAGATGAAGACAGGTAAATTGCAACAACACGTATACATTGGCGCGACAGGACAACTCACTAATGAAACAAGGGACCTTGTATATAGGGAACAAACAAAGGTAACTTGTTAGGCAACAGCTGAACAGAATTACTAATCAAATGAGTGATCAAAGTAACTAATAATGAACAAGGGCAGGAAGGAAAACAAATGACAGAACTCAAAACTGAACATAACTGAAATCACACCCCATCCTGGAAAGGCGCAACCTTGCAGTGACAATCCAAATGAGCAGCCTGATCTCATGAAATGGCGTATAATGACACGCCAATTCGTATTTCCATTTTTGGCGTGCTATCAACACGCATAATCGCTTTTCAGCGTGTTTATCAACGCCTTTGACTTAACGTTATATTACTGTATTATGTATATATAAATATATGACCTACCCCAACCCCGTCCCTAAACCTACCCGTCACTGGGGTTAATACCATTTATGAGTGTTCTCCTACCATCCTAGGAAAAGAAATATCGCTCCACAGATGTAGATATAGATTTTGCTGCGTTTCACTCGGACATTTAATGGCCGTACACATACACGCGGAATCACTCGGACATTTAATGCCGTAGACATACACGCAAAAGATTTCGGCGTGGACTTACACGCGGATAGCTCAAAATGCTTATAGATAACACGCCACTTGACTTGAAAGTGGCGTGTATGTTTACGCAAAGTCATGATGTCATGTTCAGCGAGGGAGGAGTCTCTGGAGGAGGATGCAGAGTAGTCTGAGTACAGGAGAGCAGGGAAGATGAAAGAGACCAGAGTGTTGATGATGGTGGGAGGAGTCAGGTGGGGACCCAGAGTCCAGCCAGAATGAAGACGCAGCCGATGGTTGTGGTGGCACAGATAGAGAGCAAATGGAACCTAAAGAGACCGACGGAGCCATAGTGACGGCCCCCTGAGGTGGAACAAAAGCGACTGAGGGCCGAGGTGGAGCCAGAGGGAGGGCAGAGCCAGACTGAGCCGTAGGGGTGTAGAGACGGAGCGCAGCGGATGGCTTGCAAGTCTGAGGTGCAGGCGAAGCGATATCCGACCAAGGTGGGTCCAGAGGATCGATGGAGCCGTAAGGCCGAAGGTCTCTGGTGGAGGGGGCAACAAACCGAGGTGGAGTGACGGGATCAGCAGCTGTAGGCGGAGCCAGGGGATCCACTCGCCCAGGAGAAGCTGGATAACAGAAGGCCCGAGGTGGATCCACGTCACAGAGGGGAGACAGAGGAAGAGCCGAGGGGCTGATGGAGGACAGCGAAGAGATGGCAGGAGAGGGTGGCTGGGTGGAGGCTCTGGGGACACATAATACTTTGTGTGGAGGAGCAGAATGTTCGAGACTGAATGAAAGCACCGCCACACCGAGGTGTTACTCAGCCCATATCGATCCTCCTCCAGGACACTCCCAACTGCATAAAAACGGAGAGTCGCCAGCAGCTGAATTTCGGGGCTAAGGGGGTAGCTTCGTCGAGTTTGTCTTGACAAATTCTGACCAACAAGATCTAAAAGCTGCTGAATTTGCTGTCATGGCAGGCAAAATTTCTTTTGAATAGCATCTTCTGACATGGTAGCCAGGGGACTAAAGTTTTTGCGGATATATAATAGTGCACATACACTATGGCTCTGATAACATGATTTTGTAGAAATTGTAATCAGACACTAAACGGAGTAGGCCTACCTATTAAAATTTATTTGAGATCGCTTGGGGTCCTAACAGAGACCCGATTTCGAGGGAGAACCTGATTTGTCACAAATAATATGAGAAGCACCCAAATGACAAAACGGGGATTATAATGGCCAATTTCGTGAATATCAAATATACAACTATATTAACCGCAGTCCGTTGGCAGTGGCTGTATCCAGACATTAATAAACTAATATAGTGCACTTGAAGAAGTGAATGAAAACGAGTGAGCAAAATCAAACCCTGTGAACGTCGGACTGGCTGCCGAGACGCGCGAATTCATTCGGCCAGAATTTCACTGCCTGTCTATTTACTTTAAGTGTACATCGGTTGTACTCGCGTTATAAATGTTGTAAGAAAAAATGATGTAGATGTCGAAGATCTCAAAAATGAAGTTTATTACAGCAAAGCAGTGGCAAGGGACACGAAGCACCTTGGGTTCACTGGCGTCAGAATGAACCCCGAACTCATCCCAGCGTAAACATTTTATACCGTCTTCCATCTGTCTTTCCCCTCAGCATGTAAATGAAGCTCTCTCTTAAATGTAAATTGAGAATAACAAATTCGTCTTCTCTCTCAGCGTGGAGCTGAAACTCTATCTTAAATGTAAATTGAAGAGAACTAAAAGTGGTACCTCTGTGTCCATGTCTTTGATATTCTTTTAAATAAGAACGGCCAAATGTTTAAGGTGATAACATCTCTTTGAAGCTCCCTAATCAAGATGGTTCTTGAATACCCGCTGTCATTCCCACGCTATAGGTAATAAACGCGACTCTGTGATACTTTTAAGATTGTAAGGAATTAATTCTATGATAAATAAGCTCTTTTAAGTGAAGGAACATTTCAATATATCTATATTGGAGTGGAAGTTGGATCGGAGCAGACTATAATTTCTTACAATATATAATATGACTGGAAACGCTGTGGTTTTCCCTTCAAGACGTGCATAACATGGGTCGATTTCGAGCCTTGTAGGCGTAGGCGCTTATGAGGTCTCGATCGCGACAGGCCACACGCACACGGTGTAAGTTACACACAAATGTTCAGAAAGAAGATAATTTCGATTACTTTGTTCTAAACTTGAAATTCTTAACTAACATTAACAGCAAACCTTGTGATCACTAGTATTAGGCTATAACTGGCTAGAATGTTTGCGTTACAAAGCTAACTTACTTTATATCAAACTCACCACCGATTATTTAATGGTAAAACAAATATCTTCACATTTGGGGGTAAACATTTAGAAATACACATCTTTAAGATATTAAATACAATTTTACATCTCACCTAGGTTCTTGCTGGTAGTGGCCCTTCTTCAAAGGCTCAGGATGATAGCCAGGTGTAGCCTATATCATCAATTTAACAGTAATCTAAGGACTACTGTAATTAATGTCTCACTCTGTTTTTTTCTTCTTCAAAGAATAGCATAAATTGACAGTTACTTTCCTGTAAATAGTTCTACAGTATGACAACTGGAAATACATCAATAATACTGTAAAAGCTTTTACAGTAAACTTTCACTGATAATACAGCAAAAATACTGTGAAAACAACAGAAATCATTTACAGTGTAATGATGGTATGCAAGGCAAATGAAAGAGAACGAAAGAGTCTAAAGGAGGAATTACAATTATTGGGAAACCAAGAATTCACAATAAATAAAATACTAAATGATGGTCCAAACGCAGGAAAGAAGATAAATGCAATCATGAAATTTATTAGGATTAGTGGATTAAAAAATAGAGTATAGAAAAAGTTAATTCTCTTCACACTCCATCACAGTAGGTGGCGGTATGCACCTATGAAGTTGGTTCACAACCCACCATAAAACCAAGAAGAAGAAGAAGAGCAACATGACATCATGACTTTGCGTAAACATACACGCCACTTTCAATTCAAGTGGCGTGCTATCTATACGCATTTTGAGCTATCCGCGTGTATGTCCACGCCGAAATCTTTTGCGTGTATGTCTACGCCATTAAATGTCCGAGTGATTCCGCGTGTATGTGTACGCCGTTAAATGTCCGAGCGAAACGAAGCAAAATCTATATCTACATCTGTGGAGCGATATTTCTTTTCCTAGGATGGTAGGAGAAGACTCATAAATGGTATTAACCCCAGTGACGGGTAGGTTTAGGGACGGGGTTGGGGTAGGTCATATATTTATATATACATAATACAGTAATATAACGTTAAGTCAAAGGCGTTGATAAACACGCTGAAAAGCGATTATGCGTGTTAATAGCACGCCAAAAATGGAAATACGAATTGGCGTGTCATACATACGCCATTTCATGAGATCAGTCTGAGAAGAGAGGAATTCAAGTTCAAGTGGGTAGGGAAGTATCTCAAACTTTAAGTGTGGAAAATGGAATGCCTCAGGGAAGTGTGATTAGTCCTATATTATTTAATATTATGATTAACGATATTTTTGGAAAAGTGGCTCCGGGAAT